CTGCCAGTGTAGTTGAATAAAACAAAACAATTTAGTTTATCCAATACCCTGCCTGCTATGATTGTCAGGTCAAATGTGTAGGTCAAAGTAGTAGTAGTAGAGCGGGATCAGTCAGACTACTGGAGCATATAATACCTTTCAAAATCTAGATTAATTGACCGTAATGGGGGTTAGAAATCTGGAGAATACTTCAGCTATACCATTCACTACATGCAATCACACATAAGTATGCCATACGATGGTATGAGATAAGATAGTAGTTTTAACATCTAATGTTACAGAGTGGGGGAAACATGGATAACGAAGCTCTGTTTATCAAACCAACTGCAAACACGTGTAATAGGAATGATTCAACACCTGTCCACCTTTCGAACACTGAATCTATGGATATAGTCTTGTTGATCGATAATACCTATAGCATTCTGTGACTGTCTAACACCAACTAATATCTATAATTCTATATACATTGATGGATTTGCATGTTTAAGTCAGCCCAAACCAGCTAACCTATGGTTTTGATATCATTTTTGTTAATTGTATCTGACTGTGGTGCGGCTGCTGTGGGGTTTTTTATTGTTGTTGTTGATGCCATTCCTGTTGTGAATGTTTTTTTTCCTTTTACTGGTGTTATCCTGATTGCTTTACTCCTTGTTTTCCTGATTCTAAAGGGAAAACCTATAAGATCGCTCCTATCCAAAGTATATATTATTGTGCGTCGGTGGCACAGTGGTTAGGAATCTCGTTGCCGACCATGCACATGGCCCAAGGTTGGATCCCCTGCCGACGCACACCTGATATCTATGGTCAGCCTGCAAAATTTGGCCTGCCGATATCCATACTCAAAATTTCCATACTTGTACCAAAAATACAGTGTGGAATCAAGCTGTAAATCAAAATTAAAAAAAAAATAAACAACCCTCTTTCCACACATGGACATCTGTGAAAAAAATTCTACTACTAAAGTTCAAAGTCATGTGACGATAATTGATATGATGATGAACAGTAATTAGTTGTGTTCGAAACGTTATCCAGTAAAAAATACTGTTTCACTCACTGTGTGATACATCTAATAGAAAATCAAAACAAGGGATTCAGCGAAAAGACTCTTTTCGAGAACGAATTTATTATCAAGCTGTACAATTGTATATATATATATGGTTTTTAAGAAGTTATATCCGTCAAGGGAATTGAATCATAGGTGTGAATGTATAAAATAATAATAATAATAATAGTAGTATGAAATGCAATTAAAAACTAAAATGTTTGTGATTATAAACGTAGTTAAATGTCAAGTGGAAAAGCTAATTAATGTCATATATATATAGAATAATTCATAGGATGGATAGAACTTGAAAAAGGGTGTGGAATTATAAGATTAGTGAACAAATAACATAAAAACGTTGCGTAATATTGTGTAGAATTTCATAACATAGAATTTAACTTTGCGAAAAACGAAAATTGATTTAGAATGATTCAAAGTTAGAACAATAAAAGTAGTAACAAATGACGTAATAAGGGAAAAGTATACAAACTGAATATACAAAACGAAAAAACTGGTAGAGCCAAAATATTATTAGGGATTATCATACTTTAGCATAGTGTGGAAGTTAAGCAATAAGAAGCGTTATCACTGAACATCTGGTCGATACTGATCACCCTATCCCTACAGCCTCTGTCTTTAAAGTCATCTATAATTTACCCAAATGACTACATACCCGACTCATCTGCATTGCTGACGCTGTGGCTATTGTTTTTTTCGAGTTGATCACGGAGTGATATTAGTTAGAGAACCATTGAAAACCTGGGAGTACTGAACAGCCGGCTGTTTCAGCCTACTTTGGGAATCTTCGGCAGTACGTACTCACTGGCATTTGAACCCAGGACCTTTCGGTTACAAGGCAAGCTCGTATACCAATCAACTACTGGGAGCTGATTCACTGGCTCATGAATTCCATAGAAAATTATTCTGATGTTTGCTAGTGACTTGCTACAGGATGAAGTTTCCTGAAGCAGTTCTAGTGAGAAGTCGTGACCAGTGAGGTTCAATTAGAGATTTCACGTGTGTGAATGGATGTCCCAACCACCAACAATGGTTAGGGTCACGCTAAATGCATCACGAGTTGATAGAAGTTAGAATTCATGAGCCATTGAATCGAGTCCCAGTGGCTGAATGGTATACGAGCTTGCCTTGTAACGGGAAGGTCCTGGGTTCGAATCCCAGTGGGTGTGCACTGCCGATGACTCCCAAAGTAGAATGGAACAGCTGGCTGTCCAGTACTCTCTGGCTGGTTTTCAATGATTTCTAACTGATGATATCAATCCGTGATCAACTCGAAAGAAACAAATTTTTTTAATTTTAATTGCATTTTATACCACTATTATTATTTCAGGCATTCACACCTTTGATCTAATTCTCTTACCGGATATAACTTCCTTTTGTAACAACAGAAGACAAGGGCCAGGCAACAGATCGTTTTATTATGAAAATCAACACGTATTTATATATATTTCACATACATTATTATAGCTTATGCAAGTAGACAAGCGCAGTCATCTGATTGGTTGTTTATCAGAAGTTAGGCAGACAAACGCAGGCTTCTGATTGGTTGTTTCGGGATTCCTCGAAAAATACAGTTCTCTATCTGCGAATCATATTTTGCCACGTTAAGTCTGCTGTGATCGGTTGTTGAATCAGCCTTGTACATATTTTCTCATGGCCTGCTCTCACCACACTATATATATGATTGTACAGCTTGATGATAAATTCGTTGAAAAAGGTCTCTGAATCACTTGTTTTGATATTCTGTAATGTTTCAATTGGAATTTTCTATAATGTATGTAATAAACAAACTAATATGGAATGAGATGGAGAGTTATCTGTCTCTTCGTACCGCCTATTTAATCTGTGTACCTTTCCCTTATTATTAAGATTGTGAATGCAATATTCTCTGCCGTATTGAGTCATAAGAAAAAGGCGTAAACAGCATAGAAGAGAATTTTCTTTTGAACGTTAATATATGTGTAAAACTTGAGAACTGTGGTAGTAATTCCATATTAGTTTGTTTATTAGATGTATCACACAATGAGTGAAACAGTATTATTTACTGGATGACACATTATCGAACAAAAGTTATTGTTCATAATCATTTCATCAATTATAATCATACAACTTTGAAATTTGAGTTTCATAGTTTTCTCTGTTCTCTCCTATTTTTCATAGGGGTAGTAGAATTTTCCAGATATCTGGGTGGATAGGTGTTGAATCATTCCTATTACATGTATTTGCAGTTGATTCGACTAACAAAGCCTCTGTTATCAATCTCTCCCTATACCCTGTGACATTAGATTTTAAAACTGTCATCTTATCCCATCCTATAGTATGGTTCTGTGTAACTACATGTAGTGAGTTCTATAGCTGAACTATTCTCTAGATTTCTTATCTTATTTGGGTCAACCAATCTAGATTTTACTGCTAGGTTTGACCTATGTATTTGACCTCACAATCGTTCCAAGCAGGGGTATTAGATAAACTAAATTGTTTTGTTTTAAAGGCTCCACAGGATTGATCCTTTAAAGGACAAAGCTTGTTTCTAATTGAGTTTTTGGGGCGGTTTGAGTGCCAGCCAGTTTTATACCTGCCTGCCTTGTTAAGAATTCTGCGTAAGACTTTCTTTTGAACGATTCATTTTCATAAGCTGTAAAATGGTATTCATATAAGACCAATCAAAATTTGTCCTCAAAAAACGTGTTGCGTAATACAAGGTATCGTCTAGAAGGGATGACCAATTAGAAATTAGAAAAGGGGCAAGAGTTGGCTTGACGTAATAAGTGTGACAAAATGACTAGTCTATATAATAAAGTGTTTTTTTTATATATAAACTCTATATGAAAATGAATTGTTATTAATAAACAGTAATAGAGGAATAATAAAATAAGGATGAGGAGAATAATAATAACAATAAACTTGCATAATAAAAGGAAGCAAAATCATGGTGAAAACGTTACTCCCGCCACAATATGGAGAGTGAATGAATGAATGTATGTGGTGCTTTTCAGTACACAGATCCGTTTTCATATCCAGAATAGCCAACGATTCAACGATGTACAGATATAGTATTCGAAGTCCTGTCGTGTGATATTGAGCAACTCTGCGTTGCACTGTCAAGCATTCCATACGGGAGTGCTTGGTGTTTACGGTTGACGAGGTGTTGAGGATATGGCTGCTGTTATTCTTCTTTTCTCCTCCGCCTAGCCAAGCTGGACTCAGTCCCAGTATACGTTTGTGTACGGCCGATATACTTTGCTCCACATGAAGAACAACTAAACTGATAAATGCACATTAAGGTGGTGACCACAAGCCTTATCTTATCCTTAAAGTTAGACTGTATAAATTGTCTGATAGAGATTGTTATTACTATTTCCGATACTACATTGTTTCTCCTACTGTGGTGAGAGCTGTCTGCTGCCAAAATTGGTAGACAGCAATTTACGTCAATGTTTACGTCTCGAATCGGGGTCACGAGATAAAACAATAACAAAGCTTAACCTTGAGGCACTCAACAGCCAATCACAGAAGACTTAGCGTGAGCGGATACGACTAACAGATATATCGACGGATTGTATAGGAAGCAGTAACAAACAGGTGACAGAATAACCTTCAGCAGGAAAGCAACCAATCAGAAGACGTTACCTCTCTGCTAATAATAACGAATAATATTGTACATAAAATTCTATAAACATCTATTGATTTTCTGAATAAACTGATCTGTTGCCTGGCCTTTGTCTTATTATCCAAAACGTCTTTCTGGTATGGTAGGATCTTCAGGAACATAAGTTCCAGTCATTATAACTGTTTGGAACTATATGATTAACAAGCCCAACTTCCACGTTAAGGTAGCAGTTATTTCGCGGATAACCTTCACACTCAGCATTAATTTTTTAAATATTTTATTTTTAATTATTCTCGCCTTATCTACTTGTGCATATTCAATCTATTTCAGATAACTGTACTATGTACTGGTCCACGAGCCATAGTCTTTGGTATAACGAATCCTAAGCTGAAAACTGACAACCTGCCTACAGAACGTATTGTAACTCAAAAGGTTATATTTGCGCCTGCAAAGGTATGTGAATAACATAGTTGATATATACTCTTTACTTCTCTCCTGTGTTATTTTAAAATATTTTACAAAGCAAGTGTTTCGCACCTGTTAAGTTACATCAGCAAAGTGCATTTGAGAAACTCATGATTTGGTCTGAGAGTTGCAATTTAATAAGATTTAATACAACTGAAGTCAATGTTATTCTACATACACTATAAGAAATAACTGAGAAGATTTGCACTTCCGGTGTATGATTTCATCATGAAAACGCATCCTCTGAACTAGTTGATTTAATTGTAAAGCTTTTAATGCCCTTTTAGACAACTTCTTCAGTGCACAAACTTGAATATGAGGTGAACTTTTGCAATTAGTAGTGTTCTCTGAGCTGGTTGGTTTAGTTGTGGAGCTTTTGTCGTCCATCTGAACAACATCCTCTTTCAGCGCGATTTCTAGCATAAAGTGGACTGATTTCAATTTTCCATTAGTGGTTAAATTGCGTCCCCCGGTAACCATCTTTACATCTGTATTGATCATTTTTTTATTGACTTAGAATTTAAACTTTCTCGTCACATGTGATTTACTTTTTATTAGTTGGTAGATTCGGTCTATATTAACATGTTTGTTAATCGCATATTCGTTTGATTATCAGGCTTCTAGGAATTATCTGTCACTTTTGGTGTTTCCTCTCTTTAAAATTTCGACATTATCTCAGGCAAACTGATGTCCATAATTATCTGCATGCATTGATATGAAAGAATATATGTATCGTGTCTTTTCACAGCTGATTTGTGTTCCTGGATTCTGATTCGAAGGGGACGCCCACTTAGTTGACCGATGTAATGTCTGTATACATGTATACATGCAATTTATTTTGTAAATAGTATTAATTTTATCTCCTTTTTTTCTGTTGAATGGGTCTTTCGATTGGCACAATATCGAATGAAGTGACTGTGCTGGTTGGCTGGCTGGCTGGCTTGTGTGCTATGTCTGTTTCAAATGGTTTTATTATTCTAGCTGTTATTTCGGAGATATTTTTTATATATATGGTAGAATGAATATTTTGTAGTCTTTGTGTTATGTACTCGTCGCTAAATTATTGTTATGGACTGGTCGAGGAACTAATAGTCCTGACGCAAGAAGGCGGAAATCAGAAGACCACTAGGTTTGCGATGATACTTCTATTTTCCAAACTCAAGGAGAAGCAATAAGTGGTATCACACCAAAAATAAGTAAGTAAGTGTAAGTCACACAAATTGTGAGAGCGAAATATATATGAAAAGGGTGTGAACAATCATTAGACAGTCTTAACATGAATGGCTAATTTTAATGAAGTATCGATCCATATATACATATCGAAATATAGCAGATATGTCAACAACCACCATATATGGATATATGTCACCAAGCTACGGACTGTCAACAGACACTCATATTATATATAATATAAGGAGAATATACATTGTTAAAGGAGACAAGTTCATACAAGTGAAATGGTCACAGACTAAGAGAGCAAACAGAAAGAGAGACCAACATACACACACACACATAAATATATATATGGATACATATCACTTTGATGACGGTTTGTTGTTGTTGGTGGCCCGATTTTAAACACTTTTTGGTGAAATTGTGGTGAAGGAATTGATTATTTTTGAAGACAGTTAGCAGATATTTTTCCCCCATTCCCTTCAACGCTGGCGTGCTACAGTGTGTGACGAGAAATTTTCAAATCCAAGTCAATAAAAATGATCAATACAGATGTAAAGATGGTTACCGGGAGACCGGTAATTCTATCATTCATGGAAAATTTAAATCAGTTCACTTTATGCTAAACATCGTTCTGAAAGGGGATGTTGTCAGAAGGACGACGAAAGCTCAACAATTAAACCAACCAGCTCAGACAATACTAATAATTGCAAATCATCCACCTGAGTGAGCTACAAATCTTCTCTATTATGAAGTGAACTTATCGGATGAATCCTCTGCAAACGAAAATGTGAAAACGAACATAAGCAAACAGGGAATCAACCTGCATAGACCAAATACTCAACTATAGCAGAAATAACCCCACAGCATATAGAAGAACCTGTGTATGTGCATGTGTGTAGACATTGTTCAACTTAGTTGAAACACACGTCACTACTCCAGTCCTAAGGAAGAAGAGCAGGAGAACAGAACAGAAATAGTTGTTGACTGGATCCTCCTACAATTTCGTGAAAACATATCTAAACTTAAATGTGACTGTGCGTCGGTGGCACAGAAGTAAAGTGCTCTCCAACTACGCAGGTGGCTCAGGGTTCAATCCATGGCCACCGACGCACTCTGTTACCTCACTAAACCAGTTATAAGACTGGTAAAGAGGGAAAGTTGGGGGGCATGAGGCTGGCTAGCAACCCCATTCTGTAAAAAATAATCACCACTACTACAGAAACTTCAAGCCTCTAGCTAGAAGCCCTCGCTGTGTTCCACTGGGAAGGTTAGGGAATAAAAACAAATGTGACTACCAGGTGAGAAACCATTCTGAAAGTCTGTAAGAAAATTCATCCTACCGCATATATATATATATATATATGAATATTTCTCGAATAACGTCTGGTATACTAGAACCCTTCTCAAACAAGCCAACACAACACTATTTGGCTGAATACTATTCAGCATGAAAGATCCGTCTAACGAAAGAATGAAAATAAGTTCAACACATCTACCAAAATAAATCGCATGGATTGTGATAATCACTATATTTTCAAGTTTTGATTTTGCAGGAATTTATTTTGATTGGATGAAGGATTTCATCATGAGCTGACTTCAGTTAAAGAACCACTGGAAAACGTGGTAGTACTGGATGACTGTTTTGTCCCAGTTTGAGACTCTTCAGCAGTACGCCCACTAGCGACTGGCTCCATTCAGGCAGTGACCTGCAGTCCTAATGGGAAGCCGTTGAAGGTGAGGCAGTAAGTCATCGAAGAAGACGTTGCGAAATGGTCGCGCTATGTCCTGAATTCGTAGAAGTTAGAATTCATGGGATGGTCATTGGATAGAGTCCCAGTGGCTTGATGGTCTACGAGCTTGCTCGCCTTGTCACCAGAAAATCATGGGTTCAAACACTGGCGGTGGGTGCGTACTGATGAAGAGTCCCAATCGGGTGGACGAAACAGCTGTCCAGTACTCCCTGACTGGTTTTCCAGTGGTTCTCTAAATGATGTCACCTCATGATGAAATCCTTCATCCAGTCATTATATTTGTCAAAGCGGGGTATCCCCTTTGTAGATTTCGACTTCAAGAACATAAACTAGCCAATAGTGGAAAGACGCGACATTTTATTCTATCATATTGATACAATGTAAACAACTATGGGTATCAGTTCAACTGGTAATCAGATGAATTAGTGATTGATTAACAGACCCGTTATTATATTATACGTCAAATACATGCGAACTACAATAAACAATAAACCATCTGACAGAAATCGAATTCCAAGTCAGTTAATATAAGTATAAAACTTGGGCACTGTGGTGGTAGAGTATGACTCCATTATATGGATAAGATTTTATTTTGATAAATCACATAGTGTAGTGTTATACAGCAATATTCTTTTCAGGGCGTTAGATATTCTTCTCTTTTAGTTGTCGGTCAGAAGGTCGCCTTTGAATGCCACATTCATGTATAGCATCTTCTTCGGCACACAGATGAGCTCTTCTTTGTTGCCTTTGGGCTTTATTTGTTTATCTATAAAGCGTGGTGGTGGCGGTTAGCCATTCTCAAGTAGTGTCTTCTTTCAAAGAGTGATCACCTCTTCTACTGATTCGGGACTGTGTATTCTGAGGATTCTTGTTGCAAGGGATATTATCAGGTTCCGCCTGCGATTGATGGCTAGCCAAGAGTAAAAGTTTGTCAACTGGCTGTTCCACGTAGGCTTACGATATATATTGATCTCTTTAGAGTTCCATCAGTTTTCTTTGTTAGTTGAGCGTCCAGAAGTGAGATTGTCTCTCCGGTTTCTGCTTCACTTGTAAATTTAATGGCTGGCTGGCAGCTATTAAAAAATTGATGGACATTATTAAGGTCAAATTTGTCATCCCAGATGACGTACTTTTTGTACAGAGAGAAGTTGTCGATTGTCCGTTTCAACGGACAGTTTTCCAAACTAAAGGTGAACCCGTAGCCACACCATCTTGCTGTCAATAAATAGTACCATTGATTGTGAGCTGAACGTTCAAAGTGCATCTAAGTAGAAGTTCTTTTAACTCGAGTGTAGGTATTCCAATATTTAAGTCGTTGTCATCCAAGTACTTGCACAAGAACCAAATTGTTTCCGTAATTGGGATATTTGTGAAGTGGGGATTCAACATCGAATGATATCACACAGTTGTCGCCTACTTTCACATCTTTGATACAGTTGACAAATGCTAACTTTTCTCGGGCTTTCAAATTGCCCACCAATGGCTACCAAGGTCAATGAACCAACGTTCAATGATCATATTCCTTAACAATCCCCGGTGCGTTGGCGGCACAGCGGTTAAGACGCTCGACGACCATGCACATGGCCCGGGGTTCGAGCCCCGGCCGGCGCACCCCTTTACCTCACTAAGCCAGTAGTGAGACTGGTGAAGAGGAAAGGTTGGGCATGAGGCTAGCAACCCCATCCTGTAAAAATCAACACTGCTAAAGAATCTTCGAGCCTCTAGCTTGGAGCCCAATGTTCCACTGGGAACGGGAAGGAAAAAAAACACTCCCCGGCAAAAAAGGGTCCATCCCTTTTTTTTCCATAGCGCCGATAACCTCGAACTGAACTGCCAACACGGGAACCTGGGCCAACTGGGACTAGGCTAAAATGGAAAAGCAAGACAAAAAACCACAACACACACCAAGCATACTACATCTCACCGGCATGCTCTCCCCGGCGTGTGGGATCTTCTTAAGTGATCTGAACTTTCCTTCGCTCTCTGTCTACAGTACCATCACTGATCTGGTCTTCGAGGTGTTGGTTGCTTCATATCACTCTAGCACAATCCCTCCTTGCTGGCGTATCACATCGTGTACAATGAATCTAACACCACTCGATTCGTTCACAGTTGTAGAAGACTTCAGAAGTACTTACAATAACATTACAAGATGATTCACACAATGCGACAATTATAAAATTAACCAACAATTAAATGAGTTGGAACCCACTCAATTACTTCACACAAACATATGTACAATCAATACATCAAATGTTGAGGATTCTGCCTTGACGAGCTACCCTTGAAGAACTGTAGGACTTACAGCAGTACGCCTACAACCCTTCTCAGGCTGACGCCCTAGGTTGAAAAATCGTTGTTGAGTTAATTTGGTGATCTCCTTCCATCATCTATATCCCCAACCCTGAATAGTAACACACTCATGACATTGTATTGTGGAATGTAGGTGACTAACAAGCCTACGACGTATCTGACCAACCAAGCGTAGGCGCAGAGTAATTTACACCAACGATAATAACATTCAAATAGTAGTTTGAAACTTGAAATGCCTTTATTTGTGCAAGTCAGTTTAACAATTACCCTGTCACACACAGTTGGTTTATCCTCACTAAACTGACCATTGACTTTCGTCCTTTCAAACGGATTGATACTAGCATAGTTATAGCATAAACACGTGAGTTCATGAACTTCCGTTTCACTGTGGATGACAACACCAACGACGACTGATTGATACCAGTTGATGAACTTAGCGGTGCATCATAAGCTGTTGTTGTTCAACCTGTAGAAGGTTGTCTATCCGTAGGATAACCGCCACTGCTATATTTTATGATTAACTCCATTTGCGCCTTCGAGTCAACTGCCAATGGCTACTAAGATCAATGAACCAACGTTCAATGTTCATATTCCTTATTAGAGTATTTTGAAACTTGTTCTCTCTAACAGGCTGTAGGAGTTCAGTTAGCCATTTTGCTATGTACGGTATAGTTGAAGACTTTGTTGTTTCAATTCTTTTTCCCTATGATCTTATGTATTATTTTCCACAGCATACATTGATTTCTGTTGTTTTCATCCCCTACCCCACGTATACAGACATTCCATTTGTCCTCTACTCTGGCTAGTCTATCCGTCTACTTAGATTCAGAAGGGCAACCGTCAGCATCACCAGCGAACAACAATGATCCTCTGGATAAAACTATACTCACATCGATTAGTGCACAACCACAGACGGCGGTTATCCCCGTGAAAGGCTTGATTCCAGATACTGAATATGTATTTGAATGGTCCTCTGGAAATGAGTTTGGTCTAAGCGTTATGATACAATTTACACTGTGGACAAAAAAACTTGAAACTGCGCCAACTATCAAGGTGAGATAATAATGATAATAATTAATAATAATTAGTATTCCATTTATTTAGCATGTTTGATTGATTGATTTATTTATTATGATTCTTTTGGTTTCTGACCGTGACATAGGGCCTCAGAAAAACATTGGCATTTAAATCTATTCTTTGTAGTATTTTTAGGTGGTGCCACGATCTTTTGTTTTCGCTGTACAAGTTCTCCTCCATGATACCCCCAAAGTAACAATCACCTCACAGTTTCCTGTTTGAGTTCCACGCGAGAGTTTGTTTGGCTCATAATGTCACTTGAAGGTTTCCTCTGCGTGTATACAATCAGTTCCCATTTTCCATTTTTCATGGTGTTATGTACTCGTCGAGTAGTTGATAGACCTGATGCGCGAAAGAGGGAAATTAGAAGACCACTGGGTTTACGATGATACTTGTATTTTCCAGACAAGGAAAATATATGTCACACAAGAGTGTGAGTGAAATGATACGAACGCAGGAAACACAAGAAATATATATATAAAGTGTACAATGCAAAGTAGATATGAAAATGGCTAATACACATGAACCAATAGACAGTCATCTTACCATGATTGGTTGTAATGTCATATGATAACAAGGTCATACATGTTTATTTAGTTAGTGGACAGACAAAAGCATAATGTCAGTTATAATGAAATATCGATCCATATACACATAGCAAAATATAACAGACTGTCAAAAACAAACACACGCATCATGTGACTACATATCACATGGCAAAGCTGGAGAATGGTCCTCTTAATAATGTAATGTATAATCTTGATTTCTATGGCCGATATGTCGATGATATATTGAGAGTTGTGAGGAAGGAAATTGAAACTATGAACATATCGGATAATTTCAATAGAGCACATCACTGTCATGTGTCTAGTCATTTGTTTACTGTAGACTGAATTCTATCAGCCCGAATAGCTCATTGGTAAGGTTTGGGACTGCAGTAATTACTGGGTAACGTGGGTTCTAATCTCAGAAGGACATGAGTTCCTTCAAGACTACAGATACGCCTTGCTGACTGATGAGTGACAACTAGCACGAATCCTAGGTCTAGTCAAGGCTTCCTGTAACTGATTGCCTTCAACCACCATCTAATATCATCAAATCAATGTGCACCGTGATGGTGAGCTACCTAGAATGGTGGCCACATTGCAAAACTTAACTGGTAGAATTCAATCTCTACCAAAGTAAGGAGTAGACACATCACACTAATTGCTAGTGTCCAATCAAACTATTTATGTATTTAATCGAAATTCGTTTATATATATAGATCTTGAATTGAATAAATTTGACTTTTCTGATTTTTCTAATTGCTATGCATTGACAATTATTTATTTATTAATAAATGGGGCATAAACCACTTAATTATTTACTGACGCATTAATATTTGAACTTATTTTGAATCAGTAACTGATCAATAATCATCGTATCCTGTGATTGGTGGAACAACTAACTACCAGTTGTTTGACCTTGATTTTATCCAATCAAAATATAGCGTTCACTTTTTGTTCGAATTAAGCTCACTAAGGGGAAAAATTGTGTTGGCTAATACAAACGAATAGTTGCTCAATGCGTCAATATTAACTAGTTTAATAAATATTTAACATGACTTTTTAACATAAATAATAAATGTAAGTCAAACATATTTGAAGTGAAGTTGAACATCAAATGTTGTGATGTAGCGGAAGGTGAACTATATTTCATTTGAGATGCATTTTGCATTATTAATTAGAACACTGTTACTTTCTTTGGAATAATGCAATGCTCAGCGAAGACATTTTTTACATACCGTGTATGCCTAAATCCATGTACTCACTTTTTGATATTGAATTTATTTTGGGAAGAACAGGATTAATGAGGCCTGATCTAAACTGTATTAGGACAAAACACGCAATGACACATCTTGCATTGGGAATAATAATAATACAATCCATTCTGTATTAGGAATGATTTGTTCTTTTTCCGCGTCACCTCTTTTGTTCTCCTCCTAATAGATACTCTCTTTTGCCGTCCATAACGCAGTGACTCTCCTATTGATACAAAAATTATCACTGCCCCTTATAAACCTTTCTCTAAATAATACTTGTGTTTAGCAGCCAGTAGAATGAACCATTATTATTGTTTCATTTAGTTCCTAGACGAATATAGGGCTTCAGGCGAACATCTCCACTGTGTTCGCTTCTGTGCCAATGGTTTCACCTAGTTTCGCGTCTGTGCACATGCTTTCATCTCCTCTTCACATGACCTCCTCCTCCATGTCACCCTCACACTGACGACCAACTGGCCACTTCCAGTTCGGGTTCCACTCGAAGCGAAGTAGTTGCCAAATCATCGCTTGATCGACGCTGTCGAAGGCCCTTTAAAAGTTAATGAAGTTGAGGTAGAGAGCTGACTACCCTTCCAAGCTCTGTTCAGTGATGGTTCGTAGTGTTGCGATTTGATTGATGCATGACTTGTTCCTCCCGAATCTAGTTTGTTCCGTTTGAAGTTTTTCATCTAGGTTAGCGTGTTTGATTCTCTCCAGGATGATGTGGCTTAGTATTCTGCTTGGGATGAACAGGAGTATAATGCTGCGCCAGTACTTGCATTGACTTAAATTTCCTTCCCTTAGCAATTTGAATAAGTAGCCTTTCTTCTAATCTGTAGGTACCTTGCCCTCTTAACCACAGTATCATTAATTATGTGTGTGAGAGATGGAATAGTCATTTATCATGATGTCTGAAAAGATCAGTTTTGTAGTTTATATAAAACAAATTTGTGGATATTTTCAGTACTACTACTGTAACAACAGAAGACAAGGGCCAGGCAACAGATCGTTTTATTATGAAAATCAACACGTATTTACACATATTTCACATACATTATTATAGACAAGCGCAGTCGTCTGATTGGTTGTTTATCAGAAGTTAGGCAGACAAACGCAGGCTTCTGATTGGTTGTTTCGGGATTCCTTGACAAATAGAGTTCTCTATCTGCGAATCATATTTTGCCACGTTAACTTTGCTGTGATTGGTTGTTGAATCAGCCTTGCTCATATTTTCTCACGGCCTGCTCTCACCACACTACTACTACCAATAATAATAATAATCATATTCCAAAGAATAATGTTTATACAAACTGACACTTCAACATTGTACATATTTCAACATCACTTACCGCCTTTTACAAATAAATAAATAAATAAATGCGTACAAATAATAAAATTGAGAAGTTTTCTGTAGTTGGTTCGTAATGATAAGTTTTGTTCCCGTGAGTTGATCACGGACTGATATCAGTTAGACAACCATTGACTACCAGCAGTGGATTACTGAATAGCTGCTTCATCAACTTGTAAAAACACAAATCTATTCCTTACAAACCAACTATAAAAAATTAATCTGATGTTCGCCAGTGACTTGCTACAGGACGGCGTCTCCTGGAGTTCTAGTGAGAAATCATGACCAGTGAGGTTTATTCAGATGTCAACTGTGAGGATGGATGTCCCACCGATGACATTGGTTGGTGGTCGTACTAGAATTCATGGATTGGCCATTGGTGCATCGAGTCTCAGTGGCTGAATGGTATACGAGCTTGCTTGGTAACCGGTAGGTCCTGGGTTCGAACCCCCTGCGGAGTGTGTACGCACTGATAATGAGTCCCAAAACTTTCGCCTTCTTACTTCAGGACTCTTGAGCAGTACGCACTCACTACACTACCAAGGATCAAACTCGGGACCTTCAATTTACAAGGCAAAGCATGTTGGCCATTCAGTCACTTGGAATAAAATTTTCAATGACCCATGAATTCTATCTTCTGTCAATTCAAGATTGAAATGTAACCACAAGCTAATATTATTGGGAAGTATTTATCTTTACACCAATCCTGTTGGATTCCACTAGTCATGAATCCTAACTTGAGCATCACTCAACTCTCTGTTCTTGGTGGATTCGTGAATGCATACTGTTCAGCAGTCCCAAACGTGGATAAAGCAATTGCAATTCATCTGAACAAGCCAAAATCTGTGCTTCGGTCCTCTTCCTTCGCCATGGTCAACTACATAATATGTATTAGGTTTTCAGAACAATTTTTCCCCTCCCGTTGTAACTAAATGTCTTTTGAATTTGTTAATTTTTAGAAATGTAGCTAGTTCTATCAACTTGTTTGTGTATTACATAATTCTACTGAATCATCCTTATTCTTCTTAGTTATCATTATTATTTTACAAATTTAATAACTTGTTTATAATGCCTAAGAATCAACTTATCTTATCCCTCCCCCATCCTTCAAACTTAGATCTCTGTTACTGAACAAAGCAAGAACAACAGTGTGGTTTGTGCAGAATAATTAAGATAGTATCACCATTGTCTATTTTGTTGGCTTCTCATCAGCTCAGCTGCTGCTTACAGGCAGCCTAAATAAATTATGAAGTTTATGTACAGAAAAGGCTTAACATACTTACAAATTTTTCATGATGTCAGTTGACAAAAAGTTCCGCAATTAGTGAACAGTGCTCAGAAAATTGTGCTTATATAGTTATTACATGCACAGTTCAAGTTTAAACAAAATAAACAAAATAAAAGTAATAATACCTGGGGTTCTAGTGAGAAGTCGTGATCGGTAGAGTGCAGCAGGTCGGGTGTGAGGACAAATACTCGCCGAAGACATTGGCTAGGGGTCGCGCTATGTCGTGAATTGGCAGAAGTTAGAATTCATGAGCCATTGGGTTGGGTCCCGGTGGCTTAATTGTATACGGGTTCACCTTATAACTAGAAGGTCCTGGGTTCGAACCCTGTCGGTGGATGCGTACTGCTGAAGAGTCCCAAACTAGGACGAAACAGCTATACAGTACTCCCAGGTTATCCAATGGTTCTCTAACTAATGTCAGCTCATGATGAAATCCTGTAACCAATCAAATCCGAACCAACACTTGAAAATGATAAATGTATGCATACAATGAATGTTTAAGGAGTTACGTAATAAAGACGAGAGATAAGTAAGATGCT